GAGATTCAGCCCGGTGCGGGAGGACTGAAGTCCACTCAGCGCCTGCTCCCTCCTCGGGCAGCAGGGAGGGGGCCGGGGCCACGTGCCCGGCCCCGTCCCGCAGAGCCCGTGGGGGCAGGGCAGGAGGAGAGGCAGGGGCTCGGGGGCTGCCTGTTTTGGGGCCGTTTGAGTAGGGGGCAGGGCTAGACAAGCTTCCGCCCCTGCCAGACATTGTTCCTCAGGGCTGACCAAGAACAACACGGCCTTGGCTACAATCACACGCTCCGGGGGGTCCATCTTGAGAAGGAAATCGATGAGGAGCCGGAGGGGGAGACGCATAAACAGAAACCCCTGAAGTACGCTGAAGTCTGAGACTGCCTTAGAAGAGCCTCTTTATTGACTCGCTTTCACAGGGCCTGGTCCTGGTCGATGCAGTGCAACCAAAGCACTAAGATGTAGTTACTATAAGCTACATTTTGAACTTGCATCGCAGCCTTTGCACCAGGGGTTGGCAATGTTTTTGGCCGGAGTGCCAAGATCACCCTAACCTCCACCCATGGCACGACTTGGTGTGTCAGAGGTGGGGGACCCGCAAGGGGCCTGATCCTTGCTGTTGGAAGTGGCTGCATGCATGCGCCTCCAGATGGATAGCAAGGAAGTGGCCGGGATTGCATTGCCTCAGCCCCTTCCCCACCATGTGCCATGAGCTGCACATGCACCTGTTGCCACCGCGGTGCCAGTGCCAGGGCTCTGGAGCCCAGTACAGCTGTTTGCGGGCACCCGGCTGCCTTCTGCATCTGGCCCAGGCTCTGAGCAGCTATATCTGTTTGCAGCCTTCCAGCTGCCTGCTATGTCAGGCTCTGCACCAGCTGCATGGCAGCAGCAGTTGCATGTGCCTCTGGGCAGAGCCAGGGTTGTGCTGCCCCAGGCCCTTTCCTGGACATGTGCCCAGAGATGCTGTCGCAGCCATGGAACTGGTACCACAGCTGCAGAGCCCCTTGCAGCAGTTTGCAGCCTCCCGGCTGCAGCTGGCCCAGGTTCTGGGTCAGCTTTCATGTGCTGAGGAAAATGGTCTCGCATGCCGTACTCTGGCACGCATGCCGAGGGTTGTCGATCCCTGCTTTGTACCGTGGTCAGGATCTTTCCAGCATAGAGAAAGGAAACCTCTCTCTCACCCCTCTCACATCCAGTGCACCAAATGCCCTGATGGAAAATATGTAGGAGAAACCAAACAACAACTGCGCATCACAATGTACGCACACTGAAAATCTATCAAAGACAAGAATACCCAACTACCAGTGGGGGCACATTTCTCACACGAAAACCACTCTCCAGTCTTTCAGTTCTAATCCTCAAAGGGAATTTACAAAATACCTTCCACAGATGAGCCTATGAACGGCACTTCATCAACCTACTGAATACACAAAAAAAAATGGACTGAATACAGACATTGGATTTATGACACATTATAACCTGCCTAACATCTGACTTCCCAGGTAAACACTCCACTTTTTACCAGATATTTTCATTCCCTTTCCCCTCACCCTGATGTCTCTCATCCGTTGACTACAGCCACTTTCACTGTCCTTCCCCCCTACCTGTCTCTCACCTACTGACCACCTCAATTCACATTTTAACTGGCTGGCTTTCTTGCATACCTACTGGCCTCTGGATGCTGCACCACTCCATCCACAAAAAGCACAGACCATCTACAGACGCATGAACGACGTGTGCCTCCAGCAGCTGGGGGAGCACAGCAGCGGTAAGCGGAGAGCTCCTGCAGACACTGCTGGCACCGACCAGAGGTTGGCGATCACTCGCAGATGCCGCCGGCAGTGTCAGCGGCAACAGGGGTGCACCGATACATTCAGGGGGTGCACGTACACCCACATGCACCCCCTATGCGTCGCCAATGTGAAACACTTCTTCAGCCTGACAAAAGGTGTTTGTACTCAGAAGCTTGCAAAGAAGAATTTTTCCAGCTATTTGAGTTGGTGTAATAAAAGATACCAGATTTATCCAAAGAACCTTGCCTACCAACGTCCTTAGACCAACACAGCTACAACCCACACCCCTCTCTCACTTCTGTAACTCATTTTAAGGAAATTTAAAGAATTCTTCTCTGTTTAATGGTACCAGAGGTTTCCACTCACCATTGACAACATCTGAGATTTATAAAGGCACCAGAACAAGATATGCCAAAGAAAGGACAAATTATGATATAAGCAACCCTTTTCTCTTCTAGCAACACGATCTCATAGATAATTAAGAGTATGAAAGAGAATGCTGGTCTCAGATGTGGGGCCAGAGGCATAAATCCTTGAGGGCTGAGGAGAATGGTCCTTGAAGCACCAGGGGTTTTGCTTGACCTAGAAATGAGGCATCTCCAAAGGAAAGAACCAAACTTTTCTGAACTGTAAAGCCTTTATTGGCTCTACTGCTTTCAAAGAAGATGAAGTAAGTGGTCCTAGTGGTGCAAAAAAGTGCCAAACTTGGGGGAATGTCCTACCTTATTTGTTTAGCGTGTAAGGCTGGGACTATCACTGAAAATAAGAAACTCCTTTTCCTTAGCTGTAGAGTATAGCTCTACGATAATTGTTCTAACTCCTTTGTGACACTTCACATTTGAATGACCATATCTGAAAGCAAAACAGGCCTATGTAACCCTTCTGCTAGGCACTGGATGGCAGTAACAAGGGCCAGATTCTGATTCAAGGGTTTTACGCAAGCTTTCTATTTTGACTCAAGCCCCCATCCAGAAATCTGAGAAAATAAATTATAATTGAGTGTTCCAGAGTGAACAGTCTTCTCCACTCATAAGTAATAGTCGACTATAAGAGGGTTTATTAAAAGGGAAAGGGGACAAATACATAGCCCCAAAGAAAACCTTATCTGTTAAGTAATAGCTGAAAGTACAATTAACAGTGTATTGCAATCACCACCAGACAAACCCAGGGGAGCTAGTAAGCCCAGTCTTCTGGAAGAGGAAATTCATCCAGGACTGCTGTTAGAGGCTCTACCACCTATGCCAGCCAAAAGTGGCAGGTGCTGGGTAGGAAGGCCCAACACAGAGAGCTCTGCTATTCCACATTATCAAGTTGCAACTCTACTCCAGAGACTTCAGCACTAACCCCAGCCAAAGTGGCAAATGCTAGGTAAGGAGGGCCTTGCCTGAATTTGCCACTACTTCACCACTGGGGATTGCTGAGTGGTGAAACCACTATGAGTGGGATGCTGTTCTTCACTGCTGGTACGGGTCACAGCTGTTTCACTGCTGGGTATCACTGCTCCTCTTTAGGTTGCTTATGCAATCTTATCTCCAGGGATCCGGGTTTTCCATTTCTTGCAGAAAAACGGAGAAAACCGCAGATTTTACCTTTGATTGAAGGCAAATAGATTTCTCATTTTACAGGAGAAACCCACAGATTTTGCAGTCTCTGCAGACTGGCAGAGTTCCAGCCTGCAGGAGGCTGGGAGGGAACGGAAGGAGGGTAGTCAGGCAGGGGGCTCCATGTGCATGTATATGCACATGGCCACAGGCAGCCTGGAAGAGCAGGTCCTGCAAGAAAGTGGCAGAGGGTGGGATTGAGGCCCCCATAGGGAAGGAGAGAGGAAGGAGTTGGACAGGGTAAGAACTGGAGATGGGGATGGGGCTGTGACTGCAGCTTGGGGCCCAGAATTGCAGTGTGTGGCCGCAGGGCCCTGGCAGGGGGTGGGGCGGGGCCACAGGTGGCTTGTCTGGGAGGTGGCAGGGGGTGGGGCCAGCTACCCCACTACTGTGCACACTCCCAGGGGGCAGCGAGGACCTATGCCCCCCAGATCTGTGCGCAGGGCAGGGGTGAGGTGGGCTGCCCACTGTGGGCACAGGCAGGGGGCCTGCTCCCCACTGCTGCATGCACTCCCAGAAACCAGGGGAGAACTGTGTCCCCATGGGCGAGTGGTGCCATCTGAGTCAGAGGCCAGTCAGTGATGGGGAGGCGGGGGGGGGGTCCCCCTGTGGTTGATCACGCCAACCAGGAAGTGCCAGCAGCACTCCTGGAAGTGCCAGCAGCGCTTCAGCTGGCACTCCCATTCCCCGGCTGGCACTTGTAAGCAGGGGCACCAGCAGTCCCGCCTGTCCCTCCTGCCTGTCACCTAAACAGGGAGCGCTGCCCGTCAAGGGATGCACCAGCACTCTCACGAGGTGCACAAGCACTCCCATGCAATCCCTGTGCGTTGCCACTCCATGCCCCCCAGATTTGTGCATGGGGCATGGGCACAGGCTGCCCGTTTCAGGCTTGGGCTCCTGCTCTGCTGCTGGGGCCTCTGCACCCAGTGTGCGCAACCCAACACTGCAAAGAAGAGCAGCGCTGCACAGGAAAGCTACTTGCCACTGCAAGCTCCACACTGTCCTGGCAACATGTCCCCTGCAGGTACAGCTGCAGCAGGGGTGGTGGTGCGGAGTTGCACACAGGGGACATGT